TTAACACAGTTGCAGCCTCCTTAGCAAGCAGCTCACATCATCAAACAAGCGTTTCCAGGAACAAGCGTGGAAAAACAGAGTTTTGGCTTGCAGTCAAAGGCAGTGTGAGAAGTGATTCCAGCAACGGAGGAGGCATACCCTTCCACGGTCCAGATTTGTCAGGAATAGTCCCAACTAGTGCCACTCTCTTCTGCTTTGGTCAGGCCTCACTTGGAACAATCCTGTGTCCAGTTCTGGGCACCGTCATTCAAAAAGGATGTCGACAAGCTGGAGCGTCTCCAAAGGAGAGTGACTAAAATGGTGCAAGGTTTGGAAACCATCAAGCCCTAGAATCATAGAATCCTAGAGTTGGAAGAGACCCCAAGGGCCATCAGTCCAACCCCTCTGCCATGCAGGAACTCTCAGTCAAAGCATACCCAATAGATGGCCATCCAGCCTCTGTTTAAAGACCTCCAAAGAAGGAGACTCCACCGCTCTCCGAGGGAGTGCGCTCCACTGGCAAACAGCTCTTGCTGTCAAGACGTTCCTCCTAATGTTGAGCTGGAATTGCTTTTCCTGTAGCTTGAATCCGTTGCTCCATCTCCTATTCTCTGGAGCAGCAGAAAACAAGCTTGCTCCCTCCTCAAGCTTCACATGGGAATAAGATGAACTCGAACTCTTAATACAGGAAGGCAAATATGATTTAATGTTGGGATCTCTTTTCCTGTAGCTTGCATCCGTTGTTTTGGGTCCTATTCTCTGGGGCAGCAGAAAACAAGCTTGCTCCATTCTCGATATGGCATCCCTTCAAATATTTAAACAGGGCTATCATATCCCCTCTTAACCACTTCTTCTCCAGGCTAAACATACCCAGTTCCCTAAGTTGTTCCTCATGAAGCGATTTAGGGATCTGGGAATGTTTAGCCTGAAGAAGAGAAGGTTTAGGGGTGACAAAATTGCCATATTGAAATATTGGAAGGGATGTCATATTGTGGATAGAGCAAACTTGTTTTCTGCTGCTCCAGAGATCAGGGCACAGAGCAAGAGATTCAAGCTGCAGGAATACGTCGAATGCCAATATGTCTTTGGATTTGAAAGGAAACCCACAAAGATGGGAATAAAATGTTGCAGCTGGTGCAGCGGATTGTCAGAAAATGTTTTGGGACAATGGAAACGTTGTTTGGATATTTAAGCAAACAAACAAAACAAATCCTGAATGACAGCAACAAAGACT